AATAGTCGTATGACCTTTTCGATAACCGTACATATGTTTGACCATCAAAGTCTTTAGAAGAACAAAGTCAAGTTTACACTAGGTACTAAATGAATTTTAATAGAAAAAAAACTCTATGACATTTGATAGTCTAGAGATTTTTGGCATATAAAAAGCAGATTTTAGAGAAAATCATTATATAAATCATTTAAATTTTGCTCGAAACTGTTCAAAATATAATTTTGTTGTACAATATGGCCGCTTTTTTCAGATTTATGGTAAGTTTTTTATCTATATTACAGTGTATTTTTTGTTTGAGTAATTTATTCCTTGTCTATAACAATAGAGTCAATTTAGGCTTAAGTCCCCAGTTTTTCCCAAAAATCTTCCTACATCTGCCTAGGGAGATGGAGATGGCAACCTTCGATGTTGCTTTCGCTATATGAGTATTTCATGTGAGCCTTTGATCAAAATATACACCAAGATACTTACGTCTCTTTGGCAAATGAAATCTTCTTGTCTTCTAGAACCGGTGGTTTGAAGCCTTTTGTTACTATCTGTTTTGTAAAGTTGACAAATTGTATAAACTTATTAGTATACAGGGTGTCAAAAAAGTGTGTATCTAAAAGAAGTTACAGCTCTCTAAAGGTTAAATAAAAATAATACTTATACACTCACCGGCAAAAAAAAACGGCCACTAAAAACTAGTCCCAATTTCAAAGTTGGATTTCTCGCGAACCACACATTAGATTTTGATGATTTTTTTTTTAAATTGTAAATTAATTCTTTCTTAACGGATGCTACCTCAGCAATTTTTATTCCAAATTTATTTTGAGCATATACAGGGCATAACAATAAGACGAAGTGTTTTGCCCAAACTTTGTAAGACCCTGTAGGATGCAGCAGCTGTAGTAGCTATTGCTAAATCAAATCACATTTTAGCCTCATCTTTTGTGAGCATTTTGTTTTTTTAATCACCTCATTATCTCGGTTTGTATTGGAGATATGCTGCTTTAAAACAAACGCCTCGAAAATAGCTTTAAAATCAAATCAAACATCAGAACGTAGACGTAAACTACTTAACTAAAACATGAAAATTAGAAAAAAAGGTAAAGACATTTTAAGGGACTAATATCTAATATCCACTCGCCTGGTGAAATTTCCAGTTTCCATATACCGATTCCAGGCATCTTGGACTGTTGTTCAAAATATACCCAGGGTATCGGATACATAACGTTGACTTCGGCCATCCTCAATTAAAGCCACAATACTAGCAACATTTGTTACAGATAATGGCATTTTTTAATTTGACAACCGTTTTTCTCACATTGCAAATACTCATAAATCCGTTTTCGTCTATGTCGCCTTGATTATTTACACATAAAACTTTCTGCCTTTTCCGAGATGAATTCTGAATTTTTCCGAGACGTTCGTTTTAAAACAGCACATCCAATACAAAAAGAGATAATGTGGTGATTAAAAAAACAAAATGCTCACTAAAGATGGGGCTACAATGTGATTTAATTTAGCAATAGCTACTACCGCTGTGGCACCCTACAGGGTGTTACAAAGTTCGGTCCAAAAATTTCGTTACTGAATTTTTCACAATCGCCATTCGCTTCGGCATTAAAATACGTGTGAGTACCAAATTTCAGTAAAAGTGGTTTACCAATGTTCTTAAAAACAAACAAAATATATTATTTTTATCTAACCTTTCGAGAGCTGCAATTTCTTCGGGAAGCATTTTAGGGCTTGTTCATAGGAACTTTTTTGTTTTATTTTTATCTGTAGAATATCCTACCGAAGTACATTTTTTTGACACTCTGTATATTATATTAAAACTGTTTTTCTGTTATTTTTTTCAGGCTTTGGTGTTGTCAGCGCTCTTGGCTGTTTCCTTGTTTGGACAGTCTGTTTTAGCTGCCCCTGCCCCTGCACCACAACAGTTAGCTCCAAACCATGCTGGACCTACTCAAACTGGTAGTGGACACTTGGGACCCTCTCCAAACACTCACGTTGGTCAGTTATGTCATTTTCTTATATGCAGAAAGTTAAGATTAGTGGAATAAATATAATTAGTACTACATTATACTTAAAACTTTACAATCATTCACAATGTCTAAATACAAAATAATATATATTTCGATGCATTCTTGCAAACAAATATGTTTCTTTTGACCAGATACTATACCACCTCTTAAAATACTTGCACTTATTTCTGGGACACCCTGTATAGGTACTTATAAATATTAATATTGTTATATTTTTGTTACAGGTCCAGGATCAGGTCATGAAGACCATGGACATGGTCACGGACATGGACACGACTTTGGCAGCCAGAAACCCACAATCACAAATTTCTAATATTTAAATTATTAATATGCAACCTTTGTAATAAAATAAAATCTTTTAAAAGTAATTTTATTATTTTTTTAGCAATTTTTACTACAACTATTTCAGCAGTACCAAAGTTTTAATAAGCAATTTTATACAGTGATTTAAAAATAAATAATGAAAAAGCAAATTTAAAAATATACATATACTTATTTAAAAGTTTTAACATCCTGCAGGTATCTTTAAAACTACCTATGTTTCAATCTCATGTTTACGGGAACTTTTTCATAATTTTTGATTTGAACATCCTGTATATGTATGCAATCAAGAGTAAAATTAATTGCAAACTGTTTATTGACACTCGTTATTTATACTTCCTGTAATTTCTAGACGCAGAAAACGACAAACACATATAAACCAGAGATCAAGTTTTATAGCGATGCGTGTGAATCCCCATGTGGAAAACCCAACGTTGCTCATTATATCTTTAGTTTTTCTTTTCTTTTTATTAATAAAACATAAGTTTAACCCCTTTTCTTTGAACAGATAAAAACTAAAAGATATATGAAGTCTGTTATAAACAATATAAAAACATATCTAAATAATATCAAATACCTGCAAATACCTACCGGAGAGTAACCAAATATAGAATACCATTTATTTCTTGTGTTATATAAAAAAGTATATATAGTATATGACATAAATTAGGATTGATTGACGTATTCAATTCTTTTCGGTCACTTCCTGTTTCACCGGAAATTACTACAACTTTTGATTATTTAAATGGCACCCTCGGTATTTTTTTACTTTACTTGATAGAAAATGACACTCTGAATAGAATGATCATAAGTCAAGTTTTGACATTTTCGCTTAAAACAAAATTGTATTTTATAAATTTCAATTTAGAGTGCCATGGCTGTGTTAAAAACACCAATTTTTAATCAAGGAGCCTTGGAAAAATAGATTTGATCGTCTAATGTTTCTCGTGTCTTGTCCGGGTCGGTTAAAATATGCCCAAATCGTATTTTTAATCATATCTCGATTTTTTCAAATGGATTTTTTGAATTTTTGAATTTTATTGGAAAAGAGGGCCCGAATTTTTGCTTGGGCCTTAGGGCCCGATCAGATGAAAAATAGACCCTGCTTTTTTGCAATTGGGCGTCTTAATTTCAAAAGAAATTTTGGAATTCGATGAAACGCTTAAAATGAGTGTGGATAATATTTAATTATTATAATTTGTACAGAGGTGTTTTAAAATCATGGGTCACGAACATATGGGACACATTCTAAAAATCACCGATAAGTATCAAAAATACAAGATGTTTTCTCCTTTGGTGAAATTCGGTATTTTTTCAGATTTAAGTGACGATTATCATAAAGAAACTGAGAGTTAAAAGTGAAATTTTCAGATGCTTTACAGAATTCAGTCACTGTAACACCTCTCAGACACAAACAGTACAAAAGTTTTGTTTATGATGTTTGTTAAACCAAAAAGTATTATATAAATATACCAAATAAGTTCATTTATAAGTTTTGTAACGATTAATTGATATTAAATGTTCTTGTATTAATGTGAGATATAATTTATTAAACATCATGACAAATAAGGTAAATATATTTTTTTCTTATTGATAGTTTTACATATATATATATAATTGTGATATTTGCAGATTTTTTTCGTATATTTTGTGGCTTTGTTATGTTGTACTATTATTCCGGCTAGTCCAATCCCGGAAACTAAAAGAACTCTTAACCAGTAAGTACATTTTTAACAAAAACATAATGCGTTATTATCATAAAAATCATAATTCAATAATATTAACAATATCACAATAAAAAAATAGGAGACATTTATAATATAGGAGTTAATAAAACATATATTTTTTCTTGTTTTTTAAAGGTGGGGTTCTGGAAACAACAATTTACATCATAATCATGGAATTATACCGGGAAGGCCTATTCAAAGCCTTGTTGTCAGTTGGGTACTTCAAAATGTCCTCTCCCAAGCATGGTCTTATTATTTTGGTTAAGATAGCTATTAAATGTATGTACCTATAGTTTAAAATAAAGTTTTAAATTATTTAAAACTACTGTGTTTACTTTTTAAATTTAAATTTAAATTTATTAGCGCGAAGTTTAGGCTCTCTTTATATGGAAGTGTTTAGTAGTCCGACAAACGGATAAATAAAATAAACTAATTGCCCGGTACTAAAAGAAGCGTCAAATACCAAAAAACTAAATAGACTTAAAAAACAAAAAAACTAACTGATATTACCATTAAAAAAATTAAAAGTGATCTGAAAAAACTTTGTGTGAGTTTAATTTAGCTTGCATATTATTTAAAAAGTAAAAAATTTATTAATGTAAATTGTTGAGTTCTCAGGATTTAATGCAAAAAACGGAGAATTACTTTATTTTAAACATCCGTTTCGCGGTCCTCTAGCAACAGCAATTTTTTTAAATTTAAAAATTCTCGCGCCATGAACAGCTGTACCTTTCTTTTGCAATTACCCAGAAAATAAATGCCACTAAGCCCCTATTTACGTAAAATTTACTAGCTGAATATGTATAAAATATCAAATTAAGTCTATTTACATTTATAATCACCCAAATTCTTGAATTTTTACATTAAAAATTAATATAATTTTCCAACCTATCCCTCAAAATGTCATACGTCAGGATCGTCATCTGTTTGGAACCGTAACTTCAAAAATACCTGTCAAATTTAACCAGTTTGAAATAATTTCGTAGATTTCATTAAGATTTTTGATGAAAATTGCAAAAACTATCGCGGTTTTACCGTGATTTTCCCAAAAAATGGAACAGGTACGTCTTTTGGTGCAAGAACAAGGCAGAGAAGCCCGGAATTTGCTCACGTTTAGCATCGCAGCCGACGATATTCGCAGTGAGTAGTTGTTGTTTTGTATACCCCTTCCTTTGGCCTTGTCTTATAATTTTTCCCCTTCAATGTTTTCCTATGTAAATCGATGTCGCTTATATAGAAATTGGACATAATTGTGCAGCCCACATAATACTTAACCAAACCAAATAGGAATGGGATAATTGATGTTCAAAATAATGAAGGAGTGTCAAGCTCTATAGTTCATTGTTTTTTATATATCCTTGAAATTTTAACGTAATTTTTTGTTGTGACTCAGGTAAAATATCAAAGAAGCCTCCATGTTCGCCTAGAGCATCCGATTTATCACCTAGCAAGAGTGGTAACATGAGAGTTCGTACAGGAGCTAGAGTTAGGTCAGCTTCGACAGGAAGGGACAAAAAATCTGAACTAAGAGCTAGATATTGGGCCCTGTTGTTTGGAAATTTACAGAGATCAGTATGATACATAAATAATTGTAATTCACCAGTATTATTGTGTATTTTTTATAGATTGCTGAGATATACAATACAGTAGAGACTCATGAGAGCCTCACTGAATGTCAAGAGGTTTCTTTGGTTTTAGAAAACTATTTAAGAGATTTTTCGGCTTTGGCTGACTGGTTTAGACTTAAATGGGAATACGAGAATACCCCAGTGCCTCAGAGACCAACATCTCTAGGTATTTTTGACAGTTTCTATGCTTTGATTTAAATATAAGGTTTTTTTTTTATTTTTCTAGCTTGGGATGTGTCTAAAACTAACCTAGTTAAACCAAATAAGTCGGGAAAATCAAGCCCTAACTTGGGTAGTGGCAGAAACAGTCCTAATCCTGGCAAAATTAGTCCTAGACTACATGCAAACAAATGTAAGGACTTAAAAAACTTGTAATTTTGTTATTTTTATAATTTTTCTGCATTTTTAGGCAAGAGTTGTACATGTAATTCATGTCCTTCGAGTCCTTTACCACCAATTGACCAGACTATACCTGAAGGTAAGCTTTTTGAGCCCTCTGAGCTTGATGATGGTGTAAAAAATCAAAATAAAACAGCTTCAAAGGCAGCTAGCAGTCCAGTCAAGCCAAATGATAACAAAAACATAGAGGTATATGTTTAAGTCTCAGTGAAGTAAGTGTTCGCTGTTAAATTGTATTTTTTAGGTAAATAAACTCGAACAAACTGTTAAGAAGAAGTCTGAAGGGAAACCTAAGGCTAGTGCTGCTTCTAAGGTAGTTCCAAAGGTTAATTCTGTTGGAAAAAAAGAAAAAATAGTTTCTGCAAAAGATAAAAATGTTGATTCAAAGAATAACACAAAGAAAAGCAATGAGGATCTTAAAAATGCTGGGAAACCTAAAAATAATGGTAGTCCTGAAGAAAAATCTACTCCTATGGTTGTAAAAGAGAATATTACAGTTCCTGTAAGTACTGATGACGGAGATAAAACAGTTATTGAGAGAGAAAAAAATGATGATTCGTCTGAAAACAAGAATTTGTCAGAGTTTGGGTTGAATTTGACTGAAAATGTGGCAAATTTCTTCTCAAGCTGTGCCACAGTGAAAAACATTGATTCTCCCAGTGAAGATCAGAGGACTTATGATATTTTAAGGAAAGTTGATGTGGAAAGTGCCGAAAAAAGTACCAGTACAGATGATTTTCCCAGGTAACTATTATGTTTTGAGATTCTTTATACTACTTTTTGTGGAAAAATTGAGAAAATCGAAGTTAAATAGTATAGAAGTCATATTTTTTTTCTAATTTTGTCCACAGATTAGCCCTAAAGCGTCCTCAAGTTGTCAAAGTCAACCAGGAATGTCAAACCGACCAAGAACAACAACAGGACAAAAAACCTACCGCCCCATTGCCTAGTAGTAGGTCAAATAAACCCGAGCCGAGTAGTTTAAAAAGCTCAGTCATCAGGCCTACCACAGCTTCGACTGTTAAAGCAGTGGTAAATTCGACAAGACCGGCATATTCCACGGCTTTAACTAAGAGTGCTTCGGCAAAAATCGTACCGCCTAGACCTAAAGTTGACGCGAGAAGTACCGGAAGTAGCGGTACTACTAGAAATGGTTCGGGAACTTCTGCGGTTCAGAGAACGGTTCAGGGTTTGACAAGGAGTAGAACAGTAAGTTTTTTTTTTGATATTGAAAGCTACTTTTATATGTGTTAAAAACTATTCCCTTCTTGTCTAAAAACTATTTTTTATGCGTAAAAAACGCAAGGACTGTATATATATTCTAAAGGACTGTTCGATCGCGTCAAATCGCCGCTGTCGTAGTCGCCGTGGAATGCTACGTCACGCGCTGACCAGCGCTCTACAGTGCGGCGGATGGTTATTCTAGCGGGACAAAATCTCAAGAGCAATGTTTGGGACTTAAAATCTAAGAACGTAGCAAATGGTCTAATATATAGCAACTATATGGTTAAATTTATTTATTTATTAACAACTTAATTTATTAATAAATAAATACAAGATAATAAAACTATGATATTATTCGTACATGACACACAAAAACCGTATTGTAAACTATTGCCAAATACATAAAATTATGATATCAAAAAACTCTTTAGGAGTTTTTTTTAATTAATTTGTAATCTTGTGACACCCTCTATAATTTATTTTAAAAAAATATATTTTATTTTGAAAATAATAAATATGATAGATATTTTAATTTTAATTTTAACACTCGGTAATTGTAAATTCATATATAGTAAGTATCTAAGACAATTTTTTAACCTCAGTGCCTTTTGATGAAGTTGTTTTGTTTTTATACTATCCAATTGAAATGAATCTTTTTGGGCATTCGCCTGTTAAGCTTGAACTCCCTGTGACTGTGACTACCTGTGTTGGTAACTATTGGTAACTCAAAAGATCTACATCATTCATTATATCGATATTTGAAAAAAAGTGAAAGTTTGATATCTGCAGAACAAAGGCACGAAGGGTTTTAACAAATAATATACGTACAGTAGAAAAGTACATACCTTTGGCAATCTTCAACATAATTTGGCTTTCTAATAAAATGTATAAGCACTTGTAAATATTTTGTTTTCGTATGATCTCTGCCTTGCTGAGCAGAAAACGACCAAATTTGGTTGATAAAATGTATCGAAATACAAAGAATATTCATGCATTTTTGTATCAATTGGAATGTCTACTATTTATTCTTATCAGTATACATTTTTTGGCTTATTTCTAACCAAACGCTTTTGTCCCGCTAAATTTATCTTCCAACGCACTGTGCGCTCGTCCGTCAAATGCAAAAATAACTGTCACTGTCTAAAATCTTTAGCGCTAACTTCAACTCGGTCAGTAGATGACGTAAAAAAACTGACAGTGCAGGAAGATAGGAATCGAACTATCCTTATTTCTATAGTATCCTTGTAAAAAACGTACTTTTTTACGTGTAATTTTTTTATGATGGAATGAGCATGTAAAAAACTACTTTTTTTTATATAAAAACTACTTTTATATGCGTAAAAAATATTCTCTGCTTGTAAAAATGTATTCTAACTTTTATAAGGTTATTCAAGTGACTCCTCCGAATATTTCTAATCAAAAATCAAGATTTTCCTTGCCCAATAATCCTCAAAAATCCTCCCCTGTTGCCAAATCCACTCCGAGGCCTGAAAAACCGGTATTTTTTACTTTATTTTTCATAGAGAAATAAGTGCACATAGAGGAATCCTGATATGTTTGGTTCTTGCAAAATTGCCATATTTTTTGGGCATTTTTTTTGTTTATTTTAAGTTGTCTCTATGTTTAATTATTTCTCTGACACATTTATTTGATTTCAAAATTTACTAGAACCAACGAACTATTTTAGGTTAGTGATATGAAATTTTCTAATTCAAATTTACGTCCAAAAATACATCCACCATCGGCAAATCAGATTCATCGAAATAGTACAAACAGTGTTGTTCCTGCGCCTCAGAAAATGCCCAACGCTCAGAAACAACCTCCCAGAAAACCGTTTTCTCTGATGCAAAAAAGCAAAACCACTTTGACAAAGGATAGCTTGACTAAAAGTCTTTCTTTGGACGAGTATGCTAGTTCTGTAGAGACCTTAGTGCCTCAGGTAAGTTGAAAATTGGTTGGGACAAATGAACTACTCCTTTCAGTTTAAGACTTTTTTTTATTTAAATGAGAAAAACGTCGAGTTTGAGATTTACTTTTTAGCCAGGTTATTAAGATCGGCAAAATTTTTTTTTTAATTTCACCCAAAATGAGTTATTTGGGTCATAGATGACCTAAATACAAAATATTTTCATGGTGTCTGTCTGTAACACGATAACTAAAAAACCGCTAAACCGATTAACCAAATTTGGCACAAAAATACTGTGGCACCCGAGAATCTCGCCATTAGTTTTTGGTGGGGGTAGGGTGTTGTTAAGGGGGTATGGGAGGGGGTTAAAATTTTAAAAAATCGTAACTCCAAAATTACAGTAGCTAGCGAAACGCGGTTTTCAATTTAAGATTAGGAATATTGGCAACAAAATTTGTAATAACATCAAAATCAGTCAAAGTCGGAAAAATTCCTTTACTTTGAAACTAAAAGAACTGCCTACCAACTTTTTATTAACATATTTTAGTATGGGCGGCTATGCGTGCCTCCCGGCGCCAATTTTTTTTGTTGATGTGCACAAACTTTTATCAAGGAAGAAAACAATTTTAAAAAAAAATTTCGTATTTATTAAATTAGTAATAAAAATAACTAAAACATAAATGTGAAAATATTCTGGAAAATCTTTAGGCAACCATAATAGTATTTTGGAGATATATGAATTCCCCGTTGAATATCGAAATAATATACTGGGCGTTCCATTTTCTACAGGGTCAGTCCAGGGAAAACATGCACAACATTACCAATTCCAGTAACAGTATTGCCAGCTCCTCTGAAACGATAAATAACGACACCAACCAATCGGAACATGGGGATGGTTGGTTTACTGTCAAAGGTAGAAGATTTAAAAATGGCAGTGGTAAACAACGAAGGTATTTTTATTTATTTATTTATTTATTTTTGTATAAACTTTTTTATAAATATGTTTCACCTAATAAAAAACATGCCAGCCAATTTATAGATTATACCGAGGGGTAAACAGCTGACCCAAATTCTGTACACTAAACCTCCTAATAGCTAAAGAATTCCTGAATACCTCCTGGAAATTCCTGAATACCTCCTGGTAGTGATGGGTTGTTATTTAACTATCTGTTATTTTATAACAATTATTTATAAATAACATAACGCAATCGTTACTAATTCTAAAAAATAACAGATATAAAATAACAACACGTAAAGATCGGCATCTCGTGAAACGAAAAACGAAGTCGGCGCTCTGCACCGTCAGGAAATTCTATGCTGCTCGAAGCAATTTCAAAAAACAACTAGTATGGATGGAAAACATGTTATTTCGTCAACCATCGATACAGGCGGCGAGACAACGGACAACGGAGTGGGGAATGCGCTAAGGCGAACGTAGCTGCTTCACTCGATACCGTCTATGGTCGTATTGGGTTTGCAACAGCTTAAAAATAATAGGATATAAAAGAAGCAGGTTTTTTGAAACAGTTGCGAGCATAACGCCTGGCGATCGAGATAACAGGAGTGGGAAAGGAACGCTGCTGCATCGGTCAATTGTCGATGGAGACTCGCAACGGGTTGGAGAAGCAGTCATTTTAGATACGTTGTTTTTCAACCTGTTACGAGCATAACAGGGCGGTGGTCGAGATAATCGGAGTGGGAAAGGAACGCTGCTGCATCGGTCGATTGTCGATGGAGGTTCGAAACAGTTTGGAGAATAACGCATCAGTTGTTTTAGATAGTACATTGTTTTTCAACCTGTTACGAGCATAAGGTGCGGAGGTCCAGATATTATGGCGCTGTATGTTTCAGTACTTACTTATTAAGTTTCAATATTTAGGTATTTATTTATTCTGAAAAATTTTCAGAATAATATTTTAAGATTTTTTAAAAATGTATACAGGGTGTTTTGAAAAATCTGGTCATCGATTAATCACGATCCTGCTTAAAGCCCTTGACGTAAAAAGCTGATTTTTGGATAACGGATTGACTTTAGGGTGTAGAGGTTCGATAAGAAGGGATTTTTCGAAACTCGAATTCTAAGGGGGCGAAACTACCCTCAAATATTAGAATATTTTTTATTTAAAAACCGGTGAGTTTTTCGGAAAAACTCTTAAAACACGTATATTTTATTATGTTGTTTTACATATTTTCAGATTTTTAAAAAATATATACAGGGTGTTTCATAAAATATGACCATTGATTAATCACTATTCTGCTTAAACTGCTTGACGTTTAAAGCTGATTTTTGGCAAACGGATTGACTGTGGGGTTGAGGTTCGATAAGAAGGGGTTTCTCGAATCTCAAATTCCAACAGGGTGAAAACGCCCCTCAAATATTACAATATTTGTTATTTAAAAAACGGTTAGTCTTTCGGGAAAACGCCTGGACACGCATAATTTATTTTGTTTTTTTACATATTTTGAAATTTTTTCAAAAATCATACAGGGTGTTCCAAAAAGTTGAGTAACTGATTAACCACGATTCTGCTTAAACTGCTCGACGTTTAAAGCTTATTTTTGGCACATGTGAGAAAATTTTATCCAGTCTGTATGTTAATTCTTGTTTTGCTTTATCATCACCATTAGAAATTATTAATTCAACGCGAACGAAGTCGCGGGTACACGCTAGTTTAAGTGTAAAATAAATTCGAACTCTAGTGTGTAGTTGGTTTACTTATGAAGAATATACTACACATTTTCTTATATTGCTATTTTTTGACCGCAAATGGTAAAATCATAACTAAGAGCTTCTCGCCCATCGAGTGAGATGCACCCTGTACACTGCTACTCAATTCAGGATCTACGCGGATCGAGGGGCAGGGCGTAGGTAGATCGGAATGTATAGGTATAGACGAGTGGCGGAATTTTGGCTTTTTTTATATCGAAATTTGTAAACAGCGCTTATTTGTAAACAACCACCGTTTTTAGAGAGGTATTTTAGATAACAATCGATATTTAGAAATGTTTTGACACCCTGGAAATACTACCACCAAGCACGTCATTGTTGCAACTTGCAACTGCGTTAATACGCCTGGCGGTGACCGCCTCATACTCTTTCAGATATTTAGCAGTAAAATAAAGAAACCTGTTATTTTTAAGCTGTTTTTATAAATAACTATAACAGTTTCAACTGTTATCTAAAAATAACAGTTTTGCCCATCACTACCTCCTGGGAATTTCTGAATACCTTCTGGGAAATCCTACATACTTCCTGGTATATCCCATATACTTCCTAAGAAATCCTGCATAATTTTTGGGATATCCTAAACTATTTTAACCAAAAACTGGTAATACAAAACTAAAGCGTCAAAACGAATGACAAATGGCAGGAAATAAATAAATAAATGTGGCAACTTGACATTTTTACAGCAGAGTTACCACCTGAATCCCCAGCGAGAAATTTAAATTCCAGCTAGTCAGCCCGACACCGAATATCTCCATGGTTGGCAACAATGAATTTAAAAATCGCGCCCTCGATTACGTAACTAAAAGTTTAATTGGTATCGCTTATATATATAACAATAAAACTAATTAAAAAATCATCAAAATCAACCCACTAAAAACAGATATATTTAACTTTAAATTACATGATTTTTTTTCTCAAAATACAGATCTGACACTGCCCTTTCCTGGGCCACTAGATTCCACCAAGTGAGCGCCACTGCGAGTTTGCCAGCTCTGGCGTTATTACCGGAATCTTCCGACACTTCAAAATCGCCAAAATCCATCGAAAAAAGTGTTAAAGAGAACCTGAACAATTTAAAGTCTCTTAAAAACAACGTGGAGAAAAGTGAGGTTAGGAAAAGCAATTCGGAACGAGAATCTTTAGAGAAAAAGGATTTGAAACATGGAAATATGAGAAGGTCTTACTCAAATTTGACTAAGAGTAGTTTGAATAGGATGCAGGAGAAGAATAAGGTGAATTTAAACATTAAAAAGAATGCAGAAAGTCAGGAATTGGATATTGATATTAGTAAGGTAAGATTTAATTTTTTTTTATATTTGTTGACTCACCCTGTATAGTAGGGTGGGTCAAAAAAATCGACTATTTATTTTCACTTTATACTCTGAAAAAAAAGGTTGGTAGACACATAAAAAAATTAGTAGAAGCTCTTAATTTTAATAGGAAGTTCCTCCGCCTTTACTTTTTCTATTTTTTCCTTATTATTAGAAAGAAAAATTCATATCTCGGTATCTACTTCTCATATATTTGTAGGAAATTGAATTCTCTACAAAAAAGGTATCTTACAATTTTTTTGTACACCTCACCGTTCGAAAGTTATTACAGTTTGAAGTTGAATATTGATTGGAATTGTTCAAATTATTAATCAAAAACCGTTAAAATTATTCTGCATGGAAGTTTGACGATGAATATCTTTTAAACGGTTAATTTAATGGACTAATCATAAGAAACCATTTTTGTAGAGCAGTGAATTTCCTACAAAACCATGAGTTGCGCGTATCATAATAATTTTTTGTTAACGAGTTATAAAATTCATAAGAAAAAAGAAAACTGCCTTAAAATAATCAACAACCAATATAATCACAACCAAACCAAACTTCAACCTTTAATAACTTTCGAACGGTGAGGTTTACAAAAAAATTGTACCGAGATATGAATTTTTCTTTCTAATAAGGAAAAAAGGACCTTCCTATTAAAATTAAGAGTTTACACTTGGAGAGAATTTTTTTGAGGTATCTACCAACCTTCTTTAAGAGTATAAAGTGAAAAAAATACTCGATTTTGTTGACCCACCCTACTGTATCGTATTGAATTTAAAGGTCGTTATAATATTTCCAGGATATAGACCCGGATTCAGAAACTGATGATGAACAGTCCAAATTGAAGGACATGCAAGACGAATTGGCCACTGAAGAAGAGCACAGGAAGAAAACCAAAGAACTCAATGAAGAGGAAGACAGATTACACAAAGAAATCGAAAAACTTAAGGTAAAACAAAAGGTTTTTTTTAGTTTTCTATATCATTATTTACTAAAAAAATATTTTCAGTGCTTGGTTATCGAAGTGGATACTGAAACCGACGGTACCGAAACAGATGGCGACGAATTACAGGGTGAAAACGATGAAGACTGTCCCATTTCTCTTCTGGATGGAGATGTATCTTTGGAAGCTCGATACGAACCGATGTTAGCAGGTATTTTATCGTTTTTAACCCTGTATTATTGCTGTATTTGCTGCATTTTTTTATACTTTTTCTTCACAGGTATGTCTTGGAGTGAAAGAGTTGACACTTTAGCAGCTTTAGAAGCGATCAATGCCAGACATCCAGGTAGGGCATTAGAACTACACCAAAAACTCTCCAATCCTTTGAGAAAAATGAGTTTGGCTGAAGCAGTAAGGAGGTATTAGATGCAACGAAGAATATTTTTGTATATTTCAAAGGTTTTAATATATTTTTTATTGTAGGTATCAAGCAAAACAGGCAAAGGCTCAGAAACGACGCGAAGACTTACAGTGTGAACGCGCTCAGAAATTACAAGCTTTGTCTACCAGAGTTGAGGATGTTAAGACTGCTAAGTTGCAGCTGATTGAAGAGAAAAGACAGAGAATGGAATTGAGGTGATTTTTATATATTTAGACAAAGAAAAATTATAATACAATCTTGAATTTAGGTTGCAGAAAGCAGCACAGAACAGAAAAAGACACATAAAAGGAATCATCAAAAAGGCACACGATGAAGAAGAAAAACTCAAAGAAATAGCTTTCATTAATGAACTAGAAGCCCAGAATAAGAGGTACAAACATTTTCTTTGTTGTGAAATAACATAAATAACTTTTTTGTAATTCCAGACATGATTTTCTACAATCCTGCCGCGAAAGAAGAGGCAGAATCCAGGGTTTGCAAGAAGACAGAAGAAAGAGACAAGAAGAAAAAGCTGCTAAAGAAGCAGCGGTCGAAGAAAGAAGGAAAGCTTTAGAAAGAGAGCGTTTAGAGAGGCTGGACAGGCTGCAAGATGAAAGGAGACAGCGAGACGAACGTATAGGTAGGTTATTTATTTGAACTACTCTTCGGTACATTTGAACTACTGCGTTATTTTGACGTGTTTTGACGTATTTGACAGGTCAACAGCAACAACAGAGGGAGAGGGAAAGACAGGAACTGGCCAGGGAGAAGGCTAGAGATAGGGAGGTGAGTTTGAACTACTATTAAATTTATTGCGATTATTAAAATTGTGTATTTTTATAGGAGAGATTGTCGGCGTTGCACGAAAAACAACTGGCCTCGACGCAGGAGCTTCAAAAACGCATCGAACAGAAACAAGAGGACTCGAAACGTCGCCACGAGGAGAACATGGAACAGATCAGGCAGAGGGCGTTGGAACTGTCGATCCACCGGTGTCACAACGACGACAACCAGGCGCCGAACATGGTACCGTATCCGCAACAGAAGCTTTGCACCGTGTGCAATGTGCTCGTAAGTTTTCTCTAACACCGCCATTTTTTCTCTTCATAGTAACACACTTCTTAGGTTCGAGGGCAGTACTTTGGAATCTATATCGATTGTTTATTTGAACTAAATACGACAATTGTTTGTTTGAACTAATTATCATACATGTTTATTTGAACTATTTTGACAATTGTTCATTTGAACTACTTTACATTTTTAGCTTTCTTTATGTCTTTAGAACTATGTAAATCATTCCAAATCGTTTTTTACCGTTTTTTTAATATTTTATGTGCTTTGCTAGCCAAATAATGCAAAAATATAAATTTTCTGATACATATTAAATTTTAGATTAAATCTGAGGTGTATCTGATGAGCCATCTGAGGGGACGTTTACATCAAGAAGCTGTCAAACAGGCGAATCCAAGTAAGACGAGTATATTTTTAAATATGAAAATATATGATAATTTTGGTGTTTTGGTAGGTTTTTCGGCTAATGAAATAGAACAATATAATTTGAAGCAAATAGTTGACGCTCCTGACGGTAAAGAAGATCCTAAAGACATTGCCGCTAAAGAGAGAGGGAAATCGTATAGGAAACGATGCAAAAAGATCAGACAGAGGATGGCAACTAAAGGTAGTTCAAATGAACTTTTTTAATTTTGGTGTTTTTAGGCATTTTTTCGCTTTTCAGGAGCTGAATATGAGACGTCTTACAAGCCTGTGGTGTCTGATGGAAATAATAAGAGGAGTTTGAACAGAAATATCAATACAATTGGTAGCATTACGAATCAAGCTAGCCAGGGTAAGTAAAAATATATATTTTTGACTAGGGATTATTTTTGAATTAATTCTTTTTTTAGGTTTATCTCCTGCTAGTCTTAGCCAGCTTGACAGAATATTAAACGAACTGTCAAGATTATTATCCAAAGGAAACGGAAATGATATGCTTATGTTCCAAAGCGTTGGTGGTTTTAGTGTTTTAGTCAAATTACTGGCGCTTGGTTTGGACGGGAACGCCTCTATAACTATAAAGTACGATATTTTCATTAATGTTATATTTGAACTATTTTAAATTATGATTACTTATTGTAGGACTCTAATAATTTGCTGCAATCTTTGGCAAATCGCTTGCAAAGGTACAGAGGGTGCTCAAAACGCGCAGTATGTGATCTTGTCGAATAAATTGACACCGGTTATCGATTTGTTAAATCAACGTCTTCAGGTAAGCAAAATATTTAATAAATTTATTGAGTATGTAGTTTTTCTCATACAATATTTTAAAATTTATCCCTCAAAGCAATCAAGTCCCTGTATATCTTTATAACAACTTTTTTTTGGACTTTTATTTATTGCATATTGAAAATAATTTGCCTCCATGACAGTTATTGTTCTACATACCTGTTTTTCAATATCTCAATGCAAAACAAAACAAAACGACAACGCTTTATTGTACAAAAAGCCAAAACAGCTTCATCGACAAAGCATTCGCAAAGCAAAAAAGCACAAAAACAAATATACAAATAATAAAAAAAATGTCATACAATACAAATCAATTCAATTTAAATTTACGTTGCAGAACACAGGCGTATCTAGAAAATTTTACAAAAGGCAAACTGTAAATGTATAAAATCATGTTATATATCATAAAATCAAGAGTTATAAAATATTAAATATTAAATAGTAGACCTTGAACCAGTGTGAGAAATGATCAACATTTAAAAATTCAAAATTGTTCATGATTAAACATCAACAAAAAGTCGTTTACCGCATATAGGGCTCTCTCCAGTAAGTATGATTTCAGAGCTTTGCGAAATGCGGGAAAGAATGAAAGTGACTTGATATTCGAAGGCAAATGATTGTACATTTTCTTGGCATTGTACAGCATTGAGCCCTTAACTAGTTCTGAGCTCGGGGTTAGCAGATAAATATCGTGCTCCACATTCCTAAGTGGATAGTTGTGAGAAGGCCCTTCTGGAATAGCAAATATGTGCTTGCGGATTAAGCAAACGGATTCAAAAATGAATAAGGAAGAGTCAGTATTTTGAAATTTTTAAAGAAATTCTGGCAGTGAGTTCTACTGTTTAGTCCCAATAAATATCGAACTGCTCTCTTTTGAAGTTTGAAAATACGATCAAATTTTGTCGCGCAGCAAGTACCCCAGAATGGAAGGGCATAAAGCAATATGCAACTCAAAAAGGGCATAATAGACCATTCTAGAGGTTGATGAGTTAAGTTCCTTAAAAACTGATCTTAGCGCAAAACAGGCAGCGCTAAAAAAATCTATTTGTCGCAAACTTTTTGGAATACCCCGTATATTTTTTTTTGTCTTTTTTCATGCCTATGATTTCTTTGATTAGTTAATTTCAATGTCGTTTACGATATAAATTATTTTGATTAATAATTTCTAATTTATCTTTATTATTTGATAATGTTGATTTTGCATATTAAATTGTTTGTTTTAAATCTCTACGATTGTTGCTTATTGGAACGTCACATTTAAATATTTGTGTTATAGAGCCATCTATTAGATGGTGGACAAACTATAAAATATAGATTTTCTATGAGGAATTCCTGTAATGTACAGGGCTCTGCAAGAAACCTCACTCTTGTTTTACTTCAAAACTTTGTCAAAAGATGGCGCGACAATACATGAATCTTATTCCAGTTTCAGGTTATTTATGTATCTAATAGAATATTTTTTTGTTCTTTAAAAAGACATAAATTGTATATGTAAATGTATTTTTTCTAAACAGAGATACGTTTATTTATATAGTTTATATTTATTATAATATATTTAAATATCACACTATAGTATATAATGAAAAGTAATGATAAAAACTATATGCAAATGAAAGTAAAATGTGATATATTTATTTCTACTAGCGTTGTCTATTTTATTTCTAATGGTAGTACAGGGTGTTCAAAAACGTGTAGTCATTCATGGCCACCTTAGAATTGTTACCAAAATCATTTATATTCTCTAAAATTAAAATAGACAAAACAAACTTTATATTTTTGAATTAAAAAAAAATATCTATGTATTTAACTGAAGCATTTAAAAAAATGTAACATATGTGTAAAAATTTGACAGTTTAGATGTTTTTAGATGTTATTTTCAAAATTAGAATATGAAGATTCAGGCAAAACTAAAACTTCGATAATTTAAACTTTTTTCGAAAAAAAATATCTACAAAATAGCTAGTTAACACTCTGTATATACTCTTTCAAGGCTTTTAGAATTACTGTGTGGTAGTTTATGGTCAATAAAGGGTAAAATATCGTTTCGAAAATCGTAACGATGGCTATTTAGTCTTGTATTTTATTGGGTTTGTTTCTAATTGAAGGACGTTTGAACTACTCGTACTCTAACTAAGTGAAAGTTATATGTATTTTATTCCAGATATTTCCATTTTTTTATATTGATATATATTTCCTTTATAGAAGATTAGTTTTTAATTAGATTTGGTGTCAATAGATCTTTGTTATTTGATAAAATCTATGTGGTTGTGATAAATATTATTCCGTATCAATTTAAACGAAAAAAATTAGCAATTTAACGAAAATGGAAACTTATCCTACAGCAGAGAGAAATAATACGATTCTATTAATTTGTGAATGCAGTGTGCTTAAGTAAAGTCAGTAAAATGCTTAAATGCTCTTCATTTATCTAGTTTGGACTTTTTTATGAGGATATGTTGAAGACAGAGTGTTTACAAAATTTCACATATATGTCTCTTAATATGAAAAGATATTTTGAAAAGAGAATCATTTTATGCAGTGAAAAGGAAAGGAAGCATTTTAAGTATTTGATTTCATCTAGTTAATTTTTGTCACATAATTATACATATCTAGTTTTAATTCTGTCATAATTAAAATATGTTTTAAGCGTGTTGCTTTTTATTACCGTTAAATATTTTATACTCTATATCCTTTAATTTTTATTGAATTAACGAAATGTATATCACAGCCATCTAGATTTTATCAAATAATAAAGATCTACAGACACTAAATCATAAAAATAAAAATATCTAGGAAAATTTTTGTATGGGAGGTGGACAGTCTTAATAATATTTTGAAGAGACCTCCATATTCTCTCTATATAATAATATACTGGGTGTTCCATTTGAAATAAAAGAGTGATTTGCTTTTGAAAGTGACCAAGGTTTAATATTAATTTGGTCCCACCCTGTATAAGTTTTCGGGTCAAATTTTAACTTGGTTTAATATACAATCGTTATTTTAACTAAATATTATGTTATACAGGGTAAATTACAATTTAGCTAGCTTTTAATGAATTTTAAAATGTATTCTTCGTTTTTAGAAAATGTCAAATTTGTCAAAAACATAAAATTTCATTTAAATACTTACTGTCGTTCTCCTTGGAGCCTCCGTGTCGTTTAAAAGGCGCTACCCTGTATATGTTGGTTCAAAACAGATCAATGTTTATATTTTTATACATTTTTTTTTTATTTATTTTTGATTTTTTTCTCTAAAAAAATCGTGCTTTTTTATGAAACTTTCTGATTTCTTCATTTTTTGTGGAACCAACTGATATAAAAGAAAGGAGATGAGGGGAAAAATGAAACGGATCTGAATAAAGCATTGATTTTTATTCTTATGCTTTCAATTTACATGAGTTATGTTATGGATATACATATATACACAAAACCTAAAGGGCTGAAAATACATATGTATATGTAAAATAATGAATTTGGGCAACGTTTTGTGTCTACCCAAGTAAAACTAGTGTATTCACCCTCAGACATTTTCCTGTGGAGAAAAAATGGAAATTTAATCATGCGGAAAAACTCTTTTATGCTCGAAATTGAATGAAATAAAATCCTTTTATCGAGTTTTTTTTGGGTCCAGTTTTGGTCCTATTTGGCAATTTTTAAAATTGTTTTACCCTTTTTTGGGGTGTTTTCTGATGAAGGGGGTCCATATGGTAGATTGGTTAGTGGAAAATGAGGGTTATCTGTACAGGGTGAGTCAACGATAGAGTAAAGTCCATTATCTCATTTGTTGAGCTGTCCAACAGCAGCAATGGAGGTCATTCTAGATCTAACACCACTGCACATTGTCATTGGTAGATATGCCAATGCGACAATGATTAGAATGGTCACTAACGGAATTAGTACTGGGAGAATTGTCAGATCAGGGGCTTGGAACACCCTCAAAAAGGAAATACCACTCCTGCAACTCCCAGTGGACGATATGCCAAGAACGTACAACTTTGACAAACATGTCAATGTAGTATTGAGCAATAAGAAGGATTGGAAGAGCGAAACGCTTGCCCAGCAGTTAAAAGACCATACCATAACTTGGTATAGTGATGCTTCCAAAACCAATACGGGAACAGGGATCGGAGTGTTTGGGCCGAGAGCTAATTACTCTGAACCAATGGGCACTTACCCTAGTATCCTACAGGCAGAAATCTACGCTATCGGGAGATGCGTACAACTTATCTTAGATAGGAACTATCGGAAAAAAGAAATAACCATCTTGTCTGATAGTCAAGCAGCGTTAAAGGCGATGAACTCAGTATCAATCAATTCGAAATTGGTCAAAGAATGCATAGAGAAGCTGAATAAATTAGGCAAAGAAAACAAAGTCCTCCTACACTGGGTGCCTGCTCACCAAGAGATAGAAGGCAATGAAAGCAAATAATCTAGCTAGGAAAGGAGCGAACACTCCACTAACTGGACCAGAACCGTTCTGCTTTCCAAGTGGTAACCAACTCAAGGCGGAACTCAAGAATGGAAATTCATCCGCAACCTGCAATGGAAATCTTGCAAGACAGATACGAAGAAGTTTCTGAGGGCTTATGATCAAGAAAAATCACAGATCTTCCTGGGTCTGAGTAAGAACAATCTTCGGGTTGTCACGGGGTTTTTAACAGGACACTGTCTCCTCAATGAACACCTTAGTAGATTGAAACTAAGAAGAAACGGCGAATGCAGATTCTGTGGGGAAGATGGGGAAACACCAGTACACCTCATCACTGAGTGCGCCGAGACGACAACCATTCGTGCCATGAATTTTGGTACGACTGATATTGGAGATGGAGAACTACCCTCTATAAAACCGTCCCAGATACTGGCTTTTGTCAAAGCCCTGGGACTGTATGATGAGTTATGATTCAAGAAAGGGGGACACAATGGATCTGTAAGGTCGAAGTGATTAACCCCCCTCCCACTCATTCTAAAAAATCTCATTTGTTTCGAGGTTTACAAAAAAATGTTAAATATAAAAGTTATAGGGAAGGTTAGGATACACATAGAAAAAATTGGAATAAATCGCAAACTATTAAAAATAGGTATATGACATACTTAATAAAAGTTGAAGAGCTTTGCAAAATCTATCAGAAAAAATGAAAATATATAGGGTGTACCATTTGAAAAATTTGAGGTTTTTTAATTTTAAGTAGTTGAAATTCATAAATATATTTTGAACACCCTGTAGCATTTAACTAAAACATCTTTACATATATCCTTTTTTTCATCTTTATAAAACTCTCATACCAAATTTTGGTATTGCAACTTCAAAAACAATGGTACCACTGACAATTTTTTATAACACTGCAATTTACCATTTGTTTAAACAAATTTAAATATTACAAAAACTATTAATTTTAGGTATATAGTATTATATATAAAAAAGTTATGAAATTTTACGCAGATTCTAAAAATAAAATAAAAAATAGGGTGTTGCATTTAAAAAAATATATGTTATATCCGCCACACGTTTTTAAAGCACCCTGTATACTCTACAATAATTTTAAAATGTGTATCTTAACCTTCCCTATAACTTTTATATTAAACATTTTTTTGTAAACCTCGAAATAAATGAGATAATGGACTTTACTCTATCGTTGACTCACCCTGTACATAAATTAGATTTTTGTATCAGGAAAATAGTATGATTTATAATATAAAAGTTCATAAGTAATAAAAAGTGAAATTAACCATTGATAACTTTACTGTTTGTTTTTTGTTTAAATGATCTTCAGAAATCATTTATTTGGGCTAATTTTTTTAGTGAAAAAAAAAACTAAAAACTTAAAAAATATAATGAAAACAATAAGATATTCATTCTGTTGATAAACTCAAAAGAAAAAGAATCTTTTAAAGAATAGATTTGTTGTTTGACACCTATTTCTTGTTTCAGGATCTGGATTGTGAAGATTCTTTACCTTCTGATCCTCTGAGCACTGCCCTGATGCAGCTTTTGGCGGTGGTTTTGAATAACACTCCCGAAGATACTCTTGCTTCCAGAGTCCACGATGTCGTCAGGTAAGTCTCTATATCTCGCCTTATACTAGTCCTGGGCGTTTTTATCGATATATTAGAAACATCGATGTTTCGCCATAAAAAATATTTATGACGCTAAAAGAAAAAATATTTAAGACGTTAGACATAAGTCCGATATGACGTCATTTGTGTCGGCTTCACAACCCCAATAAAAAACGGTGTCTAGTTGTTTGCACGATCTAAAATCGACCGAAGACACCGTGGAGGGTCGCGCGCGACTGACATGTGCAAACAATCGCCTAATCCCCGATTATTCTAGGTCGATAATGCGCGCCTAAGCCGCCAGAGGGGGCCGTAGGCACAGGAACAGGGGGGGCTAATAAAAATACCGCATCGAAGTTTATACACACAGCTCTACGTCTCCCCTGGAGCCCTTCAGAAGTCTCTTTTCTCTTTTGCATTCGTCGTCGGTGTTTGACCAGCGTTAGCGTGAATAAGGGAGGTTAATTAATATCAGTTATTTCGAATTGCCCTCCTTTTTACATTAATTAACTTATACAGGGTCTGGCAATAGTGCGTCGGGCATCTGTAGCTCCCAGAATAAAAAAAAATTGCGCCGGGAGGCACGTATAGCCGCCCATACTAAAATCTGTTAATAAAAAGTTGGTAGGCAGTTCTTTTAGTTTCAAAGTAAAGGAATTTTTCCAATTTTTTTTTATCTCAAAAACTGCGACTTTCACTGATTTTGATGTTATTACAAATTTTGTTGCAAATATTATTCCTAATCTTAAATTGAAAACCGCGTTTCGCTAGCTACTGTAATTTTGGAGTTACGATTTTTTAAAATTTTTAACCCCCTCCCATACCCCTTTACCAAACCCCCACCCCCACCAAAAACTAATGGCCAGATTCTCGGGTGCCACAATATTTTTGTGCCAAATTTGGTTAAAATCGGTTTAGCGGTTTTTGAGTTATCGTGTTACAGACAGACACCATGAAAATATTTTGTATTTAGGTCATTTATGATCCAAATAACTCATTTTGAGTGAAATTAAAAAAAACGTTTTTTTGCCGATCTTAATAGCCTACCTATTGGTATGGTGGGCTAAAATTTTGGGAATTTTAAACTTAAAATATGTATGAGGGTGTATTTCAGGAAAATATTTTAACTTCTAAAGGATGGCTGAAAAAAGTGTGATCGGGATGCTTTTTTTTAAATGGAACACCCTGTATATTATCGCATTTTTGGCTTCCTTTCAGATCATTTTACATAATCCTAAGATATGAGTAAATATACCGGGTGTTGCATCGTCGAGCGGGACAAAATCCCATGTAAATTTTAATGGGGTCAATTATTGGCTTCCCTAATTATTTTAGAGAATAATTCTATTTAGGTTTATTGAAGAGCACTAAAACCCACATTCAAAAGAATAACTTTAGATATTTTTGATTAGCCCGTTTACGAGTTATCGCCGATTTCTTTTTAAATATTTCTCCTTTCTTATGGCCCTGTATTTACTTATGAGCACGAGTCAAGGTAAAAGATAACTGTCAAATGAAGTTGTCAGTTATTGAATATTGTAATAATACTATAATTACCTTGTAATTAATTACTTTATTTTAATTTAATTCATATTAATTTGTATTTATAAATACATCTTTAAGATTTCCGATGTAGGAAGGAGTTTTCAATAATAATAAAGCACTAAATAGGTAGATTTCTGAAATGACAACTTCATTTGACAGTTATCTTTTACCTTGACTGGTGCTCATAAGTAAATACAGGGCCATAAGAAAAGAGAAATATTAAAAAAGAAATCGGCGATAACTCGTAAACGAGCTAATCAAAAATATCTAAAGTTATTCTTTTGAATGTGGGTTTTAGTGCTCTTCAATAAACCTAAATAGAATTATTCTCTAAAATAATTAGGGAAGCCAATAATTGACCCCATTGAAATTTACATGGGATTTCCTATGTCCCGTCCGACGATGCAACACCCGGTAGTTTAATAGTTTCAGAGATATTAATAAATAAATAAAAAATATGTTTTTTTCAAACTTCACTAAAAAAATTATTACAAATACAAGAACTGTCCTGAAATCAAAACTATATTAGGTATTTACTTTAGATGGCCTATACTTGCTTTGCTATAAATATCGTAGTCTTAAATCATACAGGATCTTCAAAATGCCAAGCTTTCTAAACTATGAAATAATTTTTCTTTGTTTTTTCAAATGGAAAACCCTGTATATTATTTTTTTTATTAGATGTAGAATTAAAAAATGATTTTCAAAATTTTTAATGGTTTCACAGTCGACTTTGATAAAAATTTACTATGGAAAACAACGAACAAACCCCCATTTCTTACCGAAAAAATTACACAACCCTTATCTCGCTCATCGCAATCATCATCGTCACTTACCTAAATTATTAATACCCCCTTATCGGCCCCCCTCATCGGAAACACACCCCTTCACCCCTTCGTACGACCCCATAGGGGAGCGGTTAGACTGATGATGACGACGACGAGAAACCGGTGATCGAGTTATTTTGAAGGCAGCCTGCACCCAACCCTGCCTCGCAGGCCCCCCTGCCCCCCCGTCGCGGTCTACTCCACTGCCTCGTCCATTAGCAGATTGGTTAGGTGGTACGAGGGGTTGGGGTGGTAGGGGGTAGACTTCGATAAGGGGGTGAGGGGATTGAAAGAGTGAAAGAAAGCGAAGGAAGGGTGATATTGCCGATATCTTGTTTTTTATTTGGTAAAAAAGCGTTTTTGTTTCAAGGTTCCTGCAAGAATATAATGTCTGTCAAATCATCGTACAGTGTTACGTCAGACGGTGTTTCTTCTCTTCTTCAAGTATAAGAATGTTTAGCCATCATTCAACGTTACGTTTGGACACGTCATATACTTAGATCGTATCTTATAAACTTCGTGGATAAAGCTATGTCATATGTATATTACACACGACCTTTGAGTAAAAAGACTTAGGAAGGAGCATAATGCTATCCGCGTATTCATGCATGGTGGGCGGAAAAAGCACTCTAGGGTGGGGATCCTTGACAGTTCTGTTTGACTATTCATTTGACACATTTGAATTTGATTTGAAATTTTGTGGATTTGTCAGTGTTTACGGAGCTTATTTTATGTTATTTATTATTTATTCTACTACTGATAGTTGTATAAAGGTAGTAAATCTAGATGGAAATTGTGGCAGAACTTAAATTAACAGTGACACTATCGCGATTTATCGAAAAAGACTCTAAAATAGTTGGTTATGTAGCGTGCGGTAGATCCTGGCAAAAATTGAGTGAAATAATGGAACAACTTTTCGCTAGTAAGTGACTATATAATATACATACGTGTAGTAAACCGATCATTTATGAAATTCACTTAAAATAACTAAATTATATATTTTTCTTGCATTTTAGCTTTTATTTATTACTTGTCAAAGATTAGATGTCAAAGAATTTAGATACGTTAATTTGACTTACCTGCTTCAGTAGCGTATCGGATGTTTGTGTTAATAAATACTTATTATAACTTATCTATTTTTATTAGAATTATATATTTTTATAACAATTTTAATAACTACCAACATTTGTTCACAACGTAAAATAAAACAACAAATTATTGAGTCTACCCCACGTCTACCCTACATCATAGTTTTACATTTTTTAAATAAAATTAGAACGACACTGATAAACCGGAATTTAAGTCGGCCATATTTGAGGCCCATCGCGGTGTACCTAAAATTTTTGATATGCTCCTTCCTTAGTCTTCTTATTCAAAGCACACGACTTTGTTTACGGGACTTTCACATGCATTTTTCTATTTATTTCTTTCTAGAACAAGATTATCGTATAAATCTATCCTTCTCTCTGCGTACGCTACTCAGCATGGGCAGAACGATATTAGACGTGAATGCTAATTTGAAGCGTTTTTTTTTTCGCTGCGTTGACAATAATTGTTACTAAAAATATAGACCATTATTTTTTTTAATCGAGATATTTCTGGTACGTGTATTTATTATTTTGAAAATATTTTTCATATTATTTCAAAATAATTTTTATATAAATTTTAAACGAAAATTAAATCATATAACGATAAATTCTTTTTAAAAACGTTTTAAAATACTACTTTGAAGAATAGCTATGATGAATGGGCAACACATAGAACCAGTTCATCGCAACCAGGGAAACATTAAAATATGTTTTGACATTGAAAAGTCAAATCATATTTTAATATAGGAAATCCTTCAATTTTCAATCATACTATACTTTGTATGATCAAAGCTTCTTTTAGACTCTTTATTTATTGAAAGTTCTTTTATTCTAGCACACGACATTTGCCTTATTTCCGTACATATTGTGCGAATGACAACTGCTATAGGACAATAGTTGTGCCCCCGTATATATCGGTAGTTCAATCAAAACACTTGTTAAAAAAGGGGGTTAGGTAGCAAGTAGGGCGGCGTAGCAATTTCGCTTTTTTACGATTCAACGCACAATGAAAAGCTGAGCAAATAGGCGCTTGCACTATAAATAAACCTCGATAATTAAAAGGGAGAGTTGTCTTTTAGCGATACGCGATCTTTATATATTTGTATATTTGAACTACTCGCAAAATTTTCTCTTTTTTATAGAATAAAAGTTTCATAGGCTCGTACTGATTGATTCTTATCGATACGACTTACAGTTCATTTGAACTACTCGACTCGCATTATTTTTTAGTTCGGATGAACTTGATGACCTTCTCGTGGTAAATAAGCGCTTACACTAAAAATAAACCAAAAAATAAATTTGTATATTTGAACTAGTCGAAAATTTTTTAAGTAAACTGTTGAGGCATATTAGAATTAAACTTTTCATAGGCGCGTACTGATCCACTCTTTTTGGTACGACTTAAGGTTCATTTGAACTACTCGCATTATTTATCAGTTGGGATGAACTTGATGACCTCTTCGTGTCAAATAAACGCTTGGACGAAAATAAACTAAAAAATAATTTTGTATTTTTGAACTACTCGACGATTTTTTTTTAA